AATATATGTGTATGTGCGTGTGTGTGTGTGTGTGTGTGTGTGTGTGTGTGTGTGTGTGTGTGTGTGTGTGTGTGTGTGTGTGTGTGTGTGTGTGTGTGGTGTGTGTGTGTGTGTGTGTGTGTGTGTGTGTGTGTGTGTGTGTGTGGTGTGTGTGTATATGTTGGTGTGTGTGTATGTGTATATGTGTGTGTATATATAATGTAATGATAATAATGATAATAGTGATGATAATTATTAATGATGATAATGATGATGATATAATAGCAAAAACAACAACAATAATTAATAATAATAACAGTGATAATAATCATCAGAAAATATATATACGTATAATAATGGAAATAATAGATTTTAACAATAATAATAAAAATAATTATAGTTATTATACTAAGTGCAACATTGATGATCATCTCAAGGAGAGAAATAACGGCGTAATAATGATAGTAAATATTCTCATCTTTGTCATTATTTCTACAAAACCATGACGTAAGGACAAGGATGAAGGACGAGGAAAATGAAAGACAAAGGAAACGAAAGACGAAGGAAACGAAAGGATTAGAAAACAAAAGGCGTAGAAAACAGAAGACGAAGAAAACGGAAGGCGAAGAAAATGGAAGACGAGGGGAAAAGACGAAGAGAGCGAAGGACGAAAATAAACAAAAGACAAACAAAACGAAAGAAGAGGCAAAAGCATAAATGAATAGATTAGTAAATGAATATATATTCAAATGAATATATAGATAAATAAATAAGAAAGAAGCTTGACATGTAAGAAGCTAAAATTCTATGAGACAGAACACGAAAGATGTTCTTTTATTTCGCTTTTTTTAAGATGGAGAGAGAGAGAGTGAGAGAGTAGAGAGGAGAGAGAGAGAGAGAGAGAGAGAGAGAGGAGAGAGAGAGAGAGAGAGAGAGAGAGAAGAGAGAGAGAGAGAGAGAGAGAGAGAGAGAGCGAGAGAGAGAGAGGAAGAGAGAGAGAGAGAGAGAGAGAGAGAGAGAGAGAGAATGAGTGACCGGATGGAGTACGCGATGGCAAGATCAAAGGAGCAAGTTTCAAGATTAACTTGAAGCAATAAGGATAATGACTCGACGTCCCAAAGAAGCAAGAAGGTGAGGTACTTTAGTCATGTAATTAGGCTAAAGGGAATACGAGCGAAGGTAATCGATGTTAAGAAGGTTTAGTGAAGCGAAAATGAGGCGGAAGAAATCAGATAAAAGGGAGGATTGTCGAGGAAATGCAAGAAGTAGGGGGAAAAAATTGATGTCCATTTACGTGGATGTGAAGTTATCATCGCTCTGATTGCTCGGTGAGGCTACAACGATATCCGTTTTGTGACTGAGGTGTTGAATTTACTCTATTCCATTATCGACACTACTCCCAATAACAACAACAAAAAGAAAACAAGAAAACAAGTAAACTACAACTCAAGAACTTGGTATGAGCAAAGCCTTGTAGCAAACACAAAGCGCTTTCCAACTGGCCAGCCAAGGACTCTCCAGTCAGTCCCCTTCCTCGGTAAAATCTCGGGAGGTGTGTGTTCGTCCAGCTGATTACTCTCTAAATCCATTTCCATCCTGTATCCCGTGATTTGGTTAATCCCTTACCATGATATCACGGGGGTAATAGCTGTCAATTGGATTACTCGGGGCAGACACCGTCGCGCGTTGATTCCAGCCAAATCGCCGGCTTCCGCTGTGTGTTCGGAGGCGAGAAAGCTTTTTGTGGATTATTTGGAGTGCGTGATTAAGCGTATGCAAAGGCCGGACGAAACATTCCCCTCTCTCAGATCTGGAAGGTCTTCATTCATCAACATTACAAATTTAAGCATAAAATTGGTCTTTTTCGTCGCAATGGCAAATTGATATAACATAATTGCATCAACATTAATCCAAAGAAGTTGTTAATTACGGTCGGTGCGTTTGATCACAGAGCCAGACAGCAAGCGTGTCTCGAGACAAATAGTTCTGGAAGGAGCCTTGACATTCGTTCTGCTCAGCCGCTGTCCTCAT